TTGTAAAGTGAACAAATGAGAAGGGAGATGGTGTGTGTGGATCACCCCATGGCTGGTGAAGATAGCTGGATACCCCGATTGTCCCTTGCCCTTCCCTATGTTACAGAGAGAGAGAGAGAGAGAGAGAGAGAGAGAGAATGTTCTGGATGCCAACAGCTGAAGCCAGGAGCCAGGAACTCCATCCAGGCCTCCCAGGTGGGTGGGTCATCTGAAGTTGAGGTTCAAGTGTTCACACTCTGATACAGGGTGTGGGCATCCTCAGCAGTGTGGCCAGGACCCCAAATCCTCATGGCTGTTTAGACACCTGCTAGCTCCTCCCAGTGTGGCAGGTCCTTCCTCAGCAAGACCCTGTGGTTCCCCCTCCCCATTGCATCTAACACCATCTGCTATGTTAGAACCTGTTAGTCATCTCCTCGCTGGTGATTGACCCCCTGGTAGACCCAGCGCCAGGACTGCCATGGACGTGGATGTGGGCGGTCTTGTTCACCCCCTGCATGGCTTACAGCTGGGGGCAGGGAGGGGGGCGCTAGAAGTACTTCCTGGCCAGCCCAAGGAGCTCACACCATTGCAAAGGACAGCTGGCTGAGCTCGTGTTAATGCAACTGCTTCTGACTCCTCGGGAGAATCTACCCCCTGGGATGTGTGTCATTGTGCAGAGCTCAGGGGCCCCTCTGTTCCCGGGGAGCCCTGTCCACTCCCCTCTCCCTGTGCCCTCCAGCAGCAGCAGCAGCCAGCAGCCCCTGCAAAGACGCCACAGGGCTTGGCTGAGGTTTCTTGGCAGTTGACATTTAGCAAGTTGGAAATCTGCCTTATTGCTCTCTTTAAAAATGGTTTCTGTCTTTTCCAGGCTGAGGGCTAAAGAGTGCTTCCATCTGCTGGCTCACTCCTTGGATGCTGGTCACACCAGAGCTGGCTCAGGTTGTGAAGCCCAGATCTCAATCTCCATCTACAATGTGGGTGGGTGACAGGAGCCTCCTGGTGCCAGCACCTGCCGCCTCTTGGGGCGTGCAGGAGCAGGAAGCTGGAAGCAGAAGCAGAGCTGAGTCTCAAGTTCAGGGTCTCCCCTGTAGGAATCCCCCGGGGTGTCTCAGCCTCTGCTGCACCCAGCGCCCACTCCTTGGCCAATCTCTTGCCACAGGAGACTGGGACACTTGGCCTTCCCAAGCCTGACTGTGAAGGTCCTGCGAATAGGAAGTGACTTAGGAAGCGTCAACTCTGAAGAAAAATAGCGGGCGTAGCGCATCTGAGACGCGATCCTTCCACACGTGCCTGTGTGCCTGGAAAAGGATTCCTTGCATTAGCAAGAGTGGCATTTGTTTCTCAGGGCTGCATTTTAAAGCTGCTCACTTTCCAACTGCATGAATCTATAAGTTTTCACGAACTGAACACATGTGTGTGAACAGAACATACATATGTGAGGAGCCCCCCCCAGGATCCCCCAGAACCCTCCAGGGCCCCTCCCAACCCATTTGCATCCTAGATAGGTTTAGTAAAAAACAAAATGACAACAACAGCAAAAACCAAATAAACAACAACAACAACAAAACTAGTTTGGGGCCTTAATTGCAGGTCCTCAAGTTCACATGTTCCCAGGGACAGGCGGACCCACACACAGCAACATTTACTCAGGGCTGCCAAGCACAGACACAGAGAATTTTATCTTGTAAGAGAAGCAGAAAGTCGCGATTTTGCTGGGACAAGTCATGGTTCTTGAATGTTGGACATGCGTCACCGTCGAACACATGGAGACCAATGCCCACCCAGACCAAGAAAAATAAACTCCAAGCCGAATCTGGCCTGCAAGCTGCCAGCAGGGGGCGATGGGCAGGGCTTCCCCAAGGCTGCTGGAGGAGACCCGCAGGCCCAGAGACCACGCAGCACATCCCAGTGATTCCCCGGCAGTTAGGGTCAGGGGAGGTGACCACGGCTGGAGGTGGGTGCCAGGGGCTGGGAAGGCTGTTCTGTGGAATCAGGGGTTCAAAGCACCCCGCAAGGTTCACAGGTGAGAACAGTCGGGGTCTTCCAAGCAGAAGCCCGGCATGACCAGGAACGTGGGTTTGTCTGCAGGGAGATATATTAGCAGTTGGAGCAGAGGCAAACGGGGCAGGATTCCCCTACAGCAGGTGTGCCTGGTGGGAGCTGCCGTGGGATATCTGGGAAGAGCAGGTGGACAGGAGGCCACAAGGAGGCCTTGGCCCACGGCAGTGGGCTACAAGAGGAAAGAAGTAAAGCTTTGGGCCCTGAATTTCTCGGTTCCTAAACAAATCCCACCCTCTACTGATCTCTAGCCACACTCAATGATGTCACTGCTGGGAATAAAAATGCACGGCCTCTCCAAGGGGCTCCCTGATGAGTTCCAACTCATCACAAGATGTGGTGCACTCCACGCCCTCCCATCCCTGTCCATCTCAGCAAATAGCACCCCCACCCTGCAGGGGCTTCCCGCAGGTTCCTCTTCCTCGCACACTCTCATGCCGTGTCCTTGAACACAGCCTACTGGATCTGCCTTTAAAATCATCCCTGAACCCTCCACGGCCACTGCCAGCAGTCCGGTCTGAGGTCCTGCGGTCGTTTGTCCAATCTGCTTCTGCCCTGCTCTGCACAGCAGCAGCTGGGGCTGGTCATGCCCGACCGCCCCCCTGCCCACCCTCTGCAGGCTCTGGCCTCACTCAGGCAGTGCTTGGGGCCCTGTCCCCCCGTGAGCCGGTCCTTTCCCCATCACTTCTCCCAACTCGGTGTCCTCTCTGTTACTGCCCCCTCCATGCACCGCGCCCATGGCCAGGCAGGCTCCCACCCTGGGGCTTTTACACAGGCTGAACTTGCGCATAGAACTCGCTTTCCCTGCTTAGCTCATTCGCTCGCTCCCCCCCTCCCCAAGTCTTCACCCTGAGGTCATCTTCTTGGGGAGTTCTTTCTTCTGCATTGGTCCCTTCCTGTTTCATGTGTCTCTGTCACTTTTACCACCTGTCCCTTCTGCCAGTAGCTCAGTGAGGGGATAGAAGTCTCAGTCACCAACGTCTGCCCTGACTTTCCTTTGGGGATGCTGCCTCACAGTACTGTCCCTAGGGGCTCCTGGCTCTTAGCCTGGACGTCACCATGAACGCTGGCCCCATGCGACACCAGCCATGAAATCTCACTTTGGAGCACTGTGCCGCCTTCATGGGAGCAGCTTGGTTCAGATGCGTCCTTGGTATCGACCAATTCTCTCAGCATCACCCTTACTACATGGGGTTCCTGACTCTCAGAATAGTTGGGGATTCTTTGCCTCCTCCCCTGGGGCCACACAAAGGCTCTTATAAGCCAGGTCTGGGAACAAACCCCGCTCACCCCGGGGAGGGGGTGGCATCTTTCATACTGATTCTGAACCCGAGCCCAGGCCCATCTTGCCTTACATGTACCTGTCTCTGGCACAGTGGCAGCAGTCGGCGGCAGCTGGGTGAGCAGGGCCCCACCCACAGCAGTATGGCAATTCATAATCCATAACCTTGAATTCTGCAAGGAAGGCCTGCCACTCGCAAGCTGGGGATCGCTGGAGCAATTCTCAGCCTGGGCAGAATTCAAATTAGCTCTTGCAATCAACATGCAATTAATGGTCTCCTACCCTGGGGCTTCGGCGCCCTGCAGGCCACGCAGTGGGAAGGGAACTTGGTGGCCAGAGAGAAAAGGTAGGGTGAAGGTGCCTGCAGTGGGTCATGTCACTTGTCACCCAAGATCCTGAAAAAGATCTGAGCCAGCTCCCGATGGGATGACCAGGGGCTAGCGTGCATAGAGCGCCTACTACATACAAAGCACTCTTTGCAAAATTCCAGTTTTATAGAGAAAGAATTCCAGGCTCAGAGAGGGTGAGCGATTTCTGCAAAGCCACACAGCTGGTGCAGCCCCCAGATCTCAAGGTCTGACACTTCTAGGTCGCCAACCCCTGCATTGGTGCTTACTGGAGTTTTGTGCTTGAAGTCACGGGACCTCCGGTGAGGTCAGCCTGCAAGGAACCCAACACCCACCACTGACCACGCAGGGGCAGCTTGCGGCCACCCTGCTTGCTGCTCTGAGCCATGACAAGGAGTCGATGACTGTTCCTCAGGGAGTGGACAGGCCTTGAAACTCTACAACCCTGTCTTCCTCCAAGGTGTCTCTTTTGGCGGCAGCCTCAGTTCCTTCCCAGCCAGCCAGCCAGCCAGCCGGCTGGCAATAGGGGAGGCCTTGTGGCTGGGACCCTTTGGGGGAACTTTCTGGGGACGCGGCCTGAGCCCCTCGTGCTGGCACAACGGGGTGGGGTGGGGTGAAGGGTTTGCTGACGGCCCTAACCAGGGAGCCTCAGAGGTCTCTGCCCTTATTCCTGCACGCGCAGAGCTCCAACCTGTGTGAAACGCCGCGGTGTCCCTTTTCCCAGCTAGCCTGGGACTTGGGATTTTTAAAAAATCGTGGCTTTTCAGGTTCTGCGTCTCTTTGGCGGCGGTGGTGGTGGTGGTGGTTGGTGGTGTTGGGGGGACGTCCCCCTCCTCTGCCAGGCTTCCGCCCGCGCCCGGCCTGGGGCGCCCCCCTCCTCTCCCCGCGCGGGCGCCGGAACAGTGTCGCCGGCCGCCTGCAGGTGTCTCCCCACGGAGGGGCGCGCGTCTCTGCGCCTTGGCCGCTGCCAGGCGCCAGCGGCTTCTAGCCGGAGGTGCACTCGCGCTCCGGGCTCCGGGCGCGCAGGAACCGCTCCGCGTCCGCTGCCCGCGCCGCTGGTCCCTCCCCACCCCATCCCTACTCCCTTACCCCCGCGCGCCTCCCCTCGCCGCCACCTCCGCCACCACCGCCGCCGCCCGGCGCCCCCTGCGCCCGTCGCGCCCCCGCCCGGGGAGGGGGGCCATGGGCCCGCGCCGCGTCCGTCGCCGCCGCCGCCGATCGCAGGCGCCCGAGCCCCGGGGCGCGGCGGGCAGCGGCCGCTGACGCGGGGCGCCGGCTGCCAACTTCGCGCGCGCGGAGCTGCCCGCCGGCGCGGTCCCGGCGGCGCGGGCGGCATGAAGACGAGCCGCCGCGGCCGAGCGCTCCTGGCCGTGGCCCTGAACCTGCTGGCGCTGCTCTTCGCCACCACCGCCTTCCTCACCACGCACTGGTGCCAGGGCACGCAGCGGGTCCCCAAACCCGGCTGCGGCCAGGGCGGGAGCACCAACTGCCCCAACTCGGGCGCCAACGCCACCACGGTCAACGCCACGGCCGCCCCCGCCGCTGCCGCCGCCGCCGACCAAGGCGCCCCGGGCGGCGCGCTCTACAGCTGGGAGACGGGCGACGACCGCTTCCTCCTGAGGAATTTCCACACCGGCATCTGGTACTCGTGTGAAGAGCAGCTCGGCGGGCGCGGTGAGTGAACGGCGACCCCGTGCCGGGCTCGGCTCCAGCTCCGGCTCCCCGCTCCGGGCAGGGCAGGCGCGCCGCTGTCGCCGCGGCTCGTGGTCTGAGGCTCCCGGGGCTGTGTGCGGGACGTCCCGCGTCTGCAGGCTCGGCCCGGGCTCCTGCCACTTCCTTGCGTCCCTAGGGTTAACCTCGCGCCTGTGGAAACGCTGAGGAGCCCCAGGGGGGCGCGGCTCCCGGCGCCCACCCTGACGGCGGCGGCGGTGGCGGAGGCTGCAGGTCCTAGGACGCGCGCTCTTGTCGGCGCCCCAACTCAGCTCCCTGCCCGCCCAGGTCTCGTCCTGTCGCGGGGTTCTTGGTGCCCCGCACACCTGGCCCAGACGCGCCTCTCCGCGCGGGGTGGTGGAGGGAGGAGGAGGAGGTCGTGGCTGCTGCTGTGAGCGCCTCTTCCCACTGTAGAGCCGCGTGCCCGAGCCCCCGGGGCCACTGTGCCTGCACGCCCAGCCCACAGAAGCCACCCAGACCGAGCTTGGCAAGCACGGACCTGGGTGCGAGGTGCAGGAGGGAGATGGAGGTTGGTCCTAGTTCCCCTGGACCCCAGATCCACCCAGAGGTGCCCTCTTGTCTTCATGTTGTGGCTCTTTGTGGGGAGGGCTGTCCAGGCAGGTGGGGAAGCCAGCAGCTTCCGGGTTGATTTGGCTTAAGCTTGGGGCTGTGGGTTGGAACTGGGGCTGGAGAAACTGGACTGCTTCAGAGATAGACTCCAGACCCTTTCTCTGCCCTCTGCTGGCAGCCCCTAGTCCGGAGCTGATGGCCAGGCCATGGATGAGGCTCAGGGGGCAGCCGGTGGCATGGGACGGCTGCTGTGTGCTAGGGAGCAGGTGGTGGCGCTGGCCCGTGGGACCAGGGACTATAGACATGACAGGTAGGGGACCTGGTCAATAGCCTGGCTTCCTTGGTCTCAAGGTGAACAGTCTGGGTGGGAACTGAGTGCTTCAGTCATCTGCCCAGTGCCTGTCAATGCCAGAGGGAAAGGAGGTGTAAAATCAGCCGGAGTGCCCTGGCCCACATCTTGGCCCTGCCGAGCTCCTCCTGAGCACCAGGGGGACCCTCCCACCCAAGGAACACACCTTCCCTCTGCCCCCACCCGGATCCCCAGTCCCTCTAGATACAGGCTCTTTGCTGCCTCAGTCTGTCCCACAGGAGGCCGGACACCGGTGCCTGGAGGATTGTCCTTGTCTCCCTCCCCGCCCCACCCCGACTCTCACTCCGGACTGCCATTTGATTGACCAAGGTCGGACTGGGTTCATTTTCCTGGAGTGTGTCTCCCCCACTATCGGTCTTCCTCAGTAAGTGTTGGGGCGGGGCCGTGGGACAATGTGTTAGGGGCTGCTTGGGGTGTGCCTGCTTTCTCTCTCATTTTCATGGGGGAGGAGGTGGTGCCTGGGCCAAAGGTTCTGGCGTGTCGGTGGGAGCCAGCTCTACCACTGGTCAGACACACCGGCATTTGGGCAACGCTCCGCCCTGCTCTGTCTCTCCCCACCCCCACCGTGGGACCCACTGCTAGCGTGCACTCAGGTCTTTATGTGGGAGATGTGACACCAACACGATGTTTCACAGGCCCTCAGAAGGTCCCCAAACTCACTGCCTTCTCACACCTGGCCAGGGCAGAGGCACCTGCATCTATGCGTAAGAGAGTGCGGAGGCTGGTGGTCCCCATACCCTCCTCCTTCAAGTTCACAGTGAAGCTTCCAGAGCTCAGGAGATCCAGCCCCTGGCACACCCCATAGCTGCCTTGTGCCAGGCACGTGTTAGTTACTGACTTGTTTTTGTCCAGAATCCTGCACTGCCTTGCTCACACACACTTGCCCGAAGCCCGGTGTCCTGTGGTCAGCTCAGTCTCTTCCTCCTGGTTGTTCAAGGTCACGGCCCCAGGGTGTATGATTGTTTCCTTGTAGTGCACTAGAGCTACCTATTAATTGGAAAAGATTTAGCAGTAATGCTGGTTTACAAGTGAGAGGCCTTTCCAAGCCCTCTCACAGTTCCCTGCTCGCCCAGATCACCTGGTGCCAGACAGGTGCCTGCCACTGGGGACCAATCAGGGGCTCCGAGCGATTTCTAGACAGAATGGCTGTTGTAGAAGATGGTGGGGGGGCTGGGGAAGAGACGAAAGAAAGACATCAGAGGGAAGAGATGGGAATGAAGTGGGGAGGGTGGTGTTGGGACGTTGGAGAGGAGCATGGGGGGCCCAGCCCTTGCCCCCAGCTCCTGGCCCTTCGCCCCCAGCCTCTGTGTTAAGTAAAGGCATTCTTGGTGGATTGGCTCGGTAATTAAATCCACACTTTTGCTCTTGGCTCAGTGCTAGCCAGAGTTCAGTCCTTATGGAACATCTCAGTCCTCCTCTCTGAGAGCTTGGGGAGCAGTTATCAGCTTGTCAGCGCTGCTGAGGGACTGGGGAGGTGTGAGTCAGCCTTGGCCGGGGGATGCTGCGGGAGGCAGGCTGATATACACCCCACCCCACGGCACCCATCTCTCCTTCTCCTCCCCCACGGCAGCGGTCCTGAAACGGTGTCGGCAGGTACCTGGCCTCAAACTTTTGTTGCCATGACAACCTTTCTTCTGGGCCTGTAATCATTTTATTTTTTTTTTCCCTCCAAGAGGAAAAAAAAAAAATACCCACATCCCCTTTTCCACACCTCCAAAACCCCTGAACAAAATCTTGCCCTGTTTCTCCTCCCCAACCCGTATCAGCAACTCCCCCCTCCTCCCACCTCCATCCTCCCACCAAACTCTAGGCCAAGCTCTGTCTCCTTCTGTCTGCCTGGAAATGACAACCAGAAGCCCCTCACCTCGGCGCAGCGGCTGCTCTGTGTGCCTTTTGGGACCTATTTCTCTCTGGGCATCAGCCCCAAACCTTCCTTGGCCCCCTGTGGGCAGTGGTAGGGGTGTCCAGTCAGCCCCTGTGTGGCCTGTCTTAAAACAGACTCACTTTCACCAACCCCCACTCGGGTACAATGAGACCCTTTCTGTCTCCGTCATCCACCCGCCCACCCTGCTTCCCAGTCAGAACCCTGGGTTGCTGGCAGAGACAGAACGGGGGGGGGGGGGCGGGCGGAGCGGGTGTGTGGCCTCTGTGCAGACGTCCACATTTGATGCACATTGTGGGGTCTGGGTGGGGATGCAGGCAGGCGTGTTGGGGGTCAGCAGGGGCATGGCTCAGAATAGGAAAGAATGAGGGATTTGGGGTGGGGTGTCAGCGGGGGTGGAGATGAGGGGCAGGTGGGAATCCATGCTGCTTGGGAGCACAGGTGACAGCCAGGGGACCTCAACTTGTAGCTCTTGGGAGGGGGAGGGCTCGGAGTATTGGCAGGGTGGCAGGGTGTCCGGGGGAACTTGCCAGGCCAGCTGGAAGGAGGTGGGGTTAGAGAGAGATGGCGATGGCTGGAGGTGGGCAGTGAAGTTGTAATAGCTGCTGTGGACCCCAAACTGGGAGCCAGCGTGCCCCATAGAGCAGCTGGGGGTTGGGGAGAATACCCATGGTGCCGGAAGCCTCTAAGAGAAGGGGTGTGTTTTCGCCTCTGGCTGGAGTCCCTCTCCGACTTGGAGGATGAGTAGTTGGGAGATGTGCAGTGTGGCTTTGGGCACTAGCCTCGGGGCACCTGTGCCAGGTGCGGGGAGTCAGAGAGCAGTGCAGAGGGGACTGGATCCCCCACATCTCTGCCAGGGGTACTGTCCACCTCCTCGCTCCATCCCCTCCCTCCCTGAGTCTTTTCTCTATCCAGTGTCAGGGTCCTTATCAGATGCCACCCCTTCTTTTACAATGATTTTTTTTTGAACTTGAAAGGCAAGAGAGAATGAATCCACTCGGCCTCTGTTCACTCATTCACTCCCCCAGCTACCCACAATGGCTGAGGCTGGGCTGTGCTGGGCTGGGTTGGGGGTTGTGAACTCCATCTGGGTCTCCCACATTGGGTGGCAAGGACCCTACCTCTTGAGCCATCACTGCTGCCTGCTGGGGTCTGCATCAGTAGGTACCTACAGTCGGGAGCTGGAGCTGGAAATTGCACCTGGGCACTCCAAGGTGGCACCTGGGCATCTTAGTCATCGGGCAAGGTGCCCCATTACCCGCCTTGTTTGCACAGCTGCCCCCATGGCCCTCCTGGCACCTGGAGTGAAGGCTAAGGGCCCATCCATAGTTGTCCAGCCTGCCCCACCGTGATGTCCCTCTGACTCCCTCACAGGTCCCACTCCACCCTACACTTTTGCCACACCAGGCTTCAGGAACACACCCGACACACTGTGGTCTCAGCCTTTGCATTAGCGGTTCCTTCTGCCTGCTTTGCTGTTAGCGCAGTGTACCCAAAAACAGGTTCCTGTCACTTGTTTAAGTCTCTGCTTACTTGACTCAAAAGCTGTGCCCGCCGCCCCTTCCTTTGCACCAAGGACTACCTCCTGGGTGTCCTGCTCCTGTGGAGCCTGAAACCCAGGCGGGTCTGTGTGCCCTGGTGCCGCCTGTGAGGAGTTCACAGCCACCCACCCTGTCCTTTGCCAAGGCTGCGTGTCCCAACCCATGCTTCTCACTGTCACATGCATCTGACCCGTTGGGTGGCCCAGCAGCTTCTCACTTCTGGCTTGAGCAGGTGCTCCTGCCCCAGAGCAGCGGTCCTCCCTGGGAGCAGTCTGTGCTTCCCCACCTCGCTCCTCCCCAGCTGCTGGAAGAGAGGTTGAGAGGGTGCATTCCCTTGCAATCAAGATCTGCCCTGTACTCTTCTTAGAGACCTGCCAGCCTCAGGCTGGGCTGCCCAGGGGCCTCCCACAGTGCAGGTTCTGTGTCTTTTAGGTACTGTGAAGAGGGGCTGGGGCTCAGCGAGGATCTGGGGAGCCCTGGCTGGGTGCGTTTGGGGAGCTGGGGCCTTCTCAGGGTGTCTGTGTACAGTGAGAGGCGCTGGCGCTGTGCCTGCCATTCCTATAGCATGTCCCACCTCCCCTCTCCCCTCCTTTCCCTCATC